CTAAGCTCATAGAAGTTAGGCAACACGTGCCTTGTTTTGCTGGTTCTCAATTTTGACTCATGTGCCCCATCCTCCCCTAGGAAGGGAGTTAATGAGCTCCTCCAGGGCAGTGACTGCTTCTCCTTCCTCATGGTGTTGCCACCAACACAAATTCAGCTCAGGGCTAGGCACAGAAGACAGGCTGGACAGATGAATGACTGAGGGACAAATGGACAATGCCCTCCACGGCCAGGTCTCTCCCTCTTCTCCTTCTTCTCCCTCTTCTCCAGAACTGGAGAAGAGTTTCCTGACCTCAAACTGTGATCAAGCAACACCAAACAATATATAATCACCCGCCCCACCACACACCCTAGGCTGTTTCTTGCCTCAGTGCTACCACTCATACGCCCCCCTTTGCGTGGAATGCCTTCCCCTTCTATTTCCCAAGCCCTACTGTTATTTAAAGCCATTTCCTCTAGGATGCTTTCTCTGGTCTCCCCGGTTGGTTAGGGGCACCTTCTGGGCTCCTGTCTCACAGCACTGATCACGCTATGTTGCCACAGTCTTCCCCAGTCTCCTGCATTAAGGGCAGGAATCATGCATGGCCAGGGGTCCCCTGTGCCAAGCATAGGACCCAGCATATGACAGGTGCTCAGTAAATTTTGTCAAATGATCAAATGAATCCTGGAAGGGCAGGCAGTGTGAGGTTCAAGATTGATATCACCAGGGTTCCTTCTTTAGAGAACGTTTGGGTTGATGAACAACTGAGTTATGCACTCAGCAAAGAGGCCCAACTCCCTGCTGGGAGAAGGGAAATGGGTAGGGGTGTTGTCTTTCACTCAAGTTTGTTCTGAAGGAAATGTGATCTCCACTGGGAGACTAGGAGGCCTCACTTCTCCCAGTCCTGATAGCTCCTCACATGGCTCAGCCCAAGCCTAGACAGATGTGCGTTCAATCTGCCCTATGCCCTAGGTTTCGGGTGAGTGATTCCTGCATCCAGAAGCCAGGCTTGGGTATGGGCCGAGCCCAGGAGTAGGGCCACCTGCTCATGATGCTGACAGGTGGGACAGGGGCCCCAGGACAGGGCTTCTACTCCTGAGTTGTCAGAGCTGAACACAGTAACAAGGTTTAAGTGCCTTGGGGGAGGAGGAGGAGGGAAATGGTTGCCACACAGGGAGAAAGGAGGAGAGAAGAAAGAGAATAGGAAAAGACTCAGCCTTCCTCTAATATAGCCAATGGAAGTATGGAAATAAGACTCTGGACTGTCTGCTTCAAGTTTGCTGAAAAGTCAGTAAAAAGCAACTTTCCCCAAGTTCTGTTGTGCTGGGGATTAGAGTATGAGATGTGGGGAAACAGACCTGTCCCTGCCCTGGGGAGGCACACAATCCAGTGGTTTAAGGTGAAGTCTAGCTCACAACCTTCTTTTTTTTTTTTTAATTTTTTTTTTTAAAAGATTTTATTTATCCGACAGTGAGAGACACAGTGAGAGAGGGAACACAAGCAGGGGGAGTGGGAGAGGGAGAAGCAGGCTTCCCGTGGAGTGGGGAGCCAGATGCGGGGCTCGATCCCAGGACCCTGGGATCATGACCTGAGCTGAAGGCAGACGCCTAACGACTGAGCCACCCAGGCGCCCCTAGCTCACAACCTTCTTAATATCAAGAACAGAATGTGGTGAGTGGCAGATCCTGCCCTGTCCCCTCTAGCCAGGCAGGCTCATGCCACACACAGTTAGCGAGCACCACATAAAGCAGGTCAACAGTACCTCTACATCAGGGTGACTGTCCAGAGCTGTTGGCTTGATCGTCTCATAAGGTTGTCTATAAGGATTCCTGATTTGGGCAGCAGTGAATCTTGCTGCTTTTCTTATTCATGGACTGAGTGCCTCCTCAGTCCTGACAGTCAGCCCTAGTTCTCTCACCCAGCCTCCAACTTCTCTTCTAGACAAGGATCACTCTCTGGCCACAGGCCAGCATGGCCCTTTTCAGATGACTTTCATACCCTCCCAGACCAGAAGGGAGATGTGGGGCAAAGGAAGGGGAGATCACAGCCAGGTGGGAGGAGTCAAGGAAGGCTTCATAAGGGCTGTAGCACTTGAGCTGAGTCTGAAAGGATTTAAGCAGAGGGTAATGAGCACTGAGTACAGAGGGATGGTCTGTGTAGAGGGCTCATACCCAAGACCTAGGAACTTAAGATTCCACAGTGTCCTTAAAGAGGAGGATGAAGCACTTCCCCTCTGAGCAGAAGAACCTCAGGCTGCTGCTCTTCACTATCCAGAGCTTTCCCAAGGCTCTAGGACTAAGGAAGGTTGGGGGACATGAAGGCAGAGACACAGAAAGCCTCAGAGAGGGCAATGGGGAAAGAACGGTAAAGGACAGTATTATTCACCAGATCTGAGTTTTATTCCAAATACTGATATCGGAGACCATACTGATCACATACTTGGTGACCTAACCATGTATAAACTATGTTTAAGGGGTTTTTAAAAATTGAGAATGAGATTCTATCCTGCTATAGGCAGGTCTGTTGGACGGAGCTAAAAGCAGGATACACAGGAAGAACCTAAGAGCAGCATGAAGCACCTACGCAGAGTCTAAGGCATAGAGAAGCTAAATAAAGACCAGCTGTAGGAATTCAAAAGAACTGTTCTTTTAGCAAGGATGGTCAGGCTCTCCCCACCTCCACCTCTGGACCTAGCTCTATTAGCAGAAAAACTATAATTGATAGGTTACATGTCTGTTTCCTCAAGACCAGAGCCTGGGTCAGCCCCCATCTCCAGTGCCCTCCAGCAGAGGCCTGCCCATTCATTCATAAGCAGGAACTCTTTTGGCTGAGGAGGGGGGTCCTAATTCAGGCCTTTATCACCTTGAATTTGTCTTACTGAAACAGCCTCTCCTCACTTGTTGGTTCTTCACCCTTCTGAATGATCCTAATTGAGTCACTCCCCTCACTCCCCTGCTCAAAAACCTTCCATGGCTCCGCACTGCTTATAGGATAAGAATGCAAGACTCCTCACCAGGGGCTTTCTAAGCCCTGCACACTGGTTTCTCCCAGACCACCTGCCCTCTTCCCCACTCCTTGCAGTGCTGTTCAAGTACCACCTCAGCAGCACCAACACGACACTGGGCCCAGCAGCCAGCCAGCAGCCCGTCCCCTGTCTTTACTCAGTTTGTCCCTACTCTTTGCTTCAGAGTGGGGGTGGGGGCACAGGGGGACGCAGGAGGTCAGAAGAGTAGGGGTAAGACTGCTGTGCTGAAAGTCAGGCTCTGTGCCTTGCTCATCTCTGACTCCCTTACAAGGGGTGAAGAGAGACTCTGAGTCATCATGACCAAAAGAGATGAGACAACTGGAGGCGGGAGAAAAGCAGCTAGAGACTGGAGACACACATGAAAGGCCCTTACAAATGCTAGCCACACAGGCAAGAAGGAATGTTCTGCATCACACACACCAGAAATTCAATCTCTTCCCGCATTCTTTTGATGAGTGTTTAACTGCTATTAGAAAAACTTTTTTTTTGAGAGAGCTAAAATAATCAACACTCAGGGGCTTAATGGAATAGGGTAAACTCAGCCTCCCCTGGGTGACAGAACAGTGGATTCACGGCATTGCGGCTTTGCAAATACACCACCTAAACTAGGTTGCCAGAGCTAAGCAGCAGCCTGGCAGTCCTCAGCAGGAGGGCTGACCGATCACTGACAGGTGGCTTGAGGGTCAGCAAAGCCCTGGGGGGGGCACAGCCAGTTTTGCCCCCTCACTCCCTTGTACTGCAGCAGAAGGAAGCGCGGCTCAGCTGTTTCTGGGGAAATGAAGATGCCATGCACAGCCGGCAGTTATGAATGGCTCTTATAACAACAAGCTGACATCTGTGCTTGGTTTTTAAGATGCATCATTGCATGTTTATTAAACTATTGCTCCATCATATTTATTTGGCTACGAAACAACTCCCAGCCCATACTTCCAAAAGTGGTTTATTAAAAACTAAGCCTTGAACATTAATACTCAAAAGCACCCCTGAGAATCAATAATAATGCTGCAGATAAAATGAAAGGGAATCAAAGCAGTAAGTCTTAGTGGGGGCTGCAGCTGACTTTCAACACTTTCTTATATGTTCAGGCAGCTGGAGTGAGGAGGAGCACCGAGAGTGTGGCACTGAATACAGGGGTAGCCACCCCAAACAAAGGACTTCCTGTCTAATATGTGGACATGGTAGCAGGGAAGGGGGGTATCCTGGGGCCACCTCGCTTTATACAAAGGGCCAAAAAAGGCCAAGATGAAGCCCAACGCAGGCCACTAGATTCACCAAGAATAAAACCTCTGCCCCTAACCAACAGCCCCATACTGAAGCCCTGGGCTGGCACCGGTCTGAGCATCTATCCTGGACACAGACTGCCCAGCCCCGGCACCAGGCTGAGCCTCAGCCTGAGTCCTGTCCCTGCCCAGAACAAACCTCAGTTCCAACCTGCCAGTGGTCCTAAGGGGCCCAGCTGAGCCAGGCAGGCTGGAAGAATGCACTCAGCCCCTGAGCAGGAGCCCAGCATGTGCACCCCAGCCCTTCAGGAAGATCTTTCTAGCCCCAGAAGACCTGGCAGAAAGGCTTCTTCCAGCTCCCTCCCAAATCCCCAAACCTTTCCATGGGTGCCCACCTGTACCCCATCCAGGCAGCAAACAGTAACACATGGCCAGTTCCACAAACATATACGAACAAATTGGAAGATTCAGTAAAGAACCCACAGGATGTGGAGTGGACTCTAAACCATGCCCTGCTAAGAACAAGACAGTGGAAGGATCCAGAGATGTTTGGGGTCAAGAAAGAAGGAGACACAAGGCTGACTCACTACTTAAAAAATCTAAGGGTTGACCTGGGCCAAGGCAGCCCAGGTGACCGTGACTTACAGGGAAGTTACAGGGTTCACTTCCCAAATGAGTGTGAGGATTTCCTCCAAGGCAGTCATCACTGCAGGAAGGGGTTCACCCAGCTCAGGCCATCTTGTAGGGGAGAGCAAGTCCTGGGGATCGACACTCACCTGCTGACTTCTTGGACATTGTTGGTGCGAGCAGCTTCCATCAGGGCTGCATCTGAAAAGAAAGGGGGCACTGGTCAGATCCCTGGTCAGGACCTACCCTCAGAGCTAACTGCATGGAGGGCCCAGCAAAACAATGGAAATGGAAGAACTTCAGAAACATGGGCTTTGGGGTGCCTGGATGGTGCAGTCAGTTAATCATCTGACTCTTGGTTTTGGCTAGAGTCAAGATTTCAGGGTCCTGGGATCAAGCCCTGCATTGAGCTCCATGCTGAATGTGGAGTCTGCTTGGGTTTCCCTCACCCTCTTCCTCTGCCCCTCCCCACCAAAATAAAAAATAAATAAAAGGAAAGAAACATAGGCTTTAATGAAGGAAATGATACCAAGGCATATAGAGAGAAAGCTAATCATCCCCTGCCTACATGGTAGGCACTGTTACCCTGTCTTCCACATCCATTACAGAGCCCAAACTTGTAACTCTTATCATACAGGTGATCCAGGTAAAGTGCTAGCAACCATGTGCTGCCTATGGCAAATGCGTGATATGTGAATCTCTTCCCTCTTCATTAGCTAGAAAACTCAGACTAATATGTTTCACATGGCTGTCATTGTTACTAGTCATCCCCCTACCTCATCCCACTTTCTCCCCCAACACTGATTTCTCAGCCTAGTTTTGAATCCATGTCAAAAGTCACCAACCCTGCACAGAGGAACAGGCAGGGGTGTGGGCTCCTCAGTTAAGAGCCTCGACCAGGAGCCAGGAGGCCCAACCATCTGCCCCCTACTCCCAGGGCTGTGGCAACCCCTTTCCCTCTCAACTCCAGCTTCCATGACTATAAAGTAGATGCAATAATCCTTGTCCTGGCAAGCCTCACGAGGATTCCAAAAAGATGAAATGATGGTTGAAAAACCTGCCAACTCCTCGGTGCCAAGCTCAGCAAAGGGAGACCCAAAGCAGAGGGTTGCAATCCCTTAGCAAACACCTAGCAGAAAAGCAATGCTAAGCCTGGCCTGGCCTGAGCAGTCTGCAGGCTGTTGGCACCACCTCGTGGCCACAAAGAAAAACTGCGTGACTCAGAAAAACTATTAATAGTAGAGGCAAGATTTTTTTCAAATAGTCATGGAGCCCTATGTGCCCAGCATGGTTCTGAGCTCCATTGTTGAACACTGGAGAGACTCATACCCAGCCCTGCCTCAGGGAGTTCTCAGTCCAGCCAAGAGACTCACCCAGCAAAACATGAGAGGAGGCACTGCAGTAGGGTAGAAAGCAGGATATGGAGACAGACAGACCTGGGCTCCCACCCCAATTCTGCCACTTACGTGCTGTATGACCTGGCCAACTCATCTAACCTCCTGAGCCTCAGTTTCCAGGAATAAGATAGCCACCTTGTCATGCATATGCAAACCAGATCTGTGGTTCAGACATTACTGTCTCCACCCCACCTGCCAGCCTAGAGTCCAGGCAGGGAGAGGTCTTTCCTGGTTATCTTCCCCCATGGTTCTCTAAGCACACATCCAGGGATTCTCAGACAGCCCTCAGTTGGAAGGGGAACAAAGCTTCCTCAGAGATTACTGCATCCACTCCTCCCTCATTCTGCAGAAAGAAGTGGCTTCTGCAAGGTCACAGGGGCAATGAGAAGGAGCTGAGAGTCAGGGCCTCCCGGCTCTTACAGGGTACAGTTTCTACCACACCGTATGGAGGGCCTGAGCTTATAACTCCAAATCAGGGTACAGCATAGGCTAGCAAAGTTTGAAGGGCTGGAAGTGATCATGGTTTTGGTCATTACTTACTTTAGAAAGTAGACAAAGTCCAGATTGGCGCCCCCAGGAACCTCTAAGGCAAGACCTTGCACCCCTCCCCCAATTCATTTAAGCATACTAGCCTCAGGACATTCCCTGCTCATTAACTTTCCGTGGCTCTCCACTGCCCGTGGAAGAAATTCCAACCCTCCAAAAACCCTCCTGTCTGACATCCAGGCCCCACTCCATCTGCTCTCACCTCATTCCAAAGACCCCCTGTCCTCCAACCAGGCTGGCTAACCTGCCAGCCCCTGCACACACCATGCTGACCTGTGACCCCCATATCCATGAAGTCTTTGCATGCAATATAGTCCAACTCAAGACACATTTACGGAGTACCTACTACGTTCCAGATGCTATGGTGGACAAACAATGTGAAAGTATTAGGGAAAGGAACTCGTATCAACTTGAAAAAAAGGTAAGCTGTATTCCTCGCTCTCATGGAGCTCACAGTGTCACTCCTTTTCATCTCTTGCCTCATCCTGCAGAGCTCAAGTTCAAATTCCCCATCCTCCAGGGGTCTCCAATCTTCCAGGAATGCTTTCCTGACCCTGCTGGCCCTCCAATCCCCCAACAACACACTGTCGGACCACTCACCAGACCCATAGGCCTAACTGCCTGAACTGTCTCCTTAAATGACTTTGTGCTGCTAGGAGTTCCACACCTCCCAGAACTGGGCTCACAGAGAGTATTCAAAAAATGCTCAAAGATAGAATTATAGCATGCCTAAGCTAGAAGAGCCCTTACGGTCTCTATTTCAACATCCTCATTTTGTAGATGAGGAAACAGGGCCAGTGAGGATGAGAAGCAAGAGTCTAAAGTCACAATGGGAGTTACAGGTAGAACCAGAACAAGATCCCAGAGCTCCTTACACCCAATTCAGGACCCTTCCTTTACAGCTGGCCATATCCTGCTAAATAAACTTAGTTCAAGGTAGTCCCCACACTTACTCCCAAGTCTCAGAGCTTGGGATGCATGAAACCTATGAACACCATGCTTCCAGCCTTACCCCCTGAGGAACTACTGAGAACCTGAGTGGTTGGACTCATGTAGGTCAGAAGTCTGGCTGCCTGCTCCCCCAGTCCCTGCTCAACTCCTTGCACCCAGGTGAGATGCCAAGCTGGGTCAGCCGGCCCCCACGGTTGCTTTTGGGTCTCTAAGGATCCAACTTCCTTGTTTTTCTTCTCCTACCAACTGCATGGTTTGGCAAGATCACCTCACACCTAAGACCAGGGACAACAAAACCCCAGGGACTCATGGGCAGACCCAGACTGCTGAACTCCAAGACTCAAAATAACAGCACTGTAAGAGTACTGAGAAATCATTCTTTACTGTGTAAGGGGGGATAACGTGAAACCAGAGAGGAGCAAGGGATGAACAGTGGCAACGCTGGTACTGAAATCAAGTTTCTACTTCCTTTCTTAGGCCACCTTTCACAGGGAAAAGTTATCTGAACTATCTAGTAGTTACCGTTAGAACACACGGCGGTTTCCTGGAGACCTCTTAAGAGAAGAATTGGACCAAGCAGAATATTAGGGCATAAAAGGACCATGCTCTAATTTTAGATGTCTCATTCAATGTTTTCATTGTACAGATGGACAAAGTAACGCCCAAAGAAGGGAGTTGACCTATGATAGGAAGTGATACAACTCAGAGGCACTGAGCTCTCCAGTTCACCACCCTGCCCCAGTGACCAGACGATGTCTGAGTCCTTCCAGGACTGAAGCCCTGCTGCTCTAAAACTATAAGCAACTCCCGCCCTCCAAAGATAACGGAATCAGGTCACTCCTCCCGCCTCTATCTTCCTCGAACCCAGACTGCCCCGATAATCACCCTTGTTGGACGGGCTCTTGCTGTAACAGTGAACCACCAGCGCCGTGGCCAGGGCCCACATGCTCAGTCCGGCCCTGCTGGGGACCCCGTTCCAGCTGTCCTGTCTCGGGAGTGTTTCTTCTGGGCTAGGAAGGCGTCCCCATGTTGCGGCTACGAGGCCCTGGGTCTCGGTGCATCCTCCCTGGCGCCCCCAGGTGGCTGCCCCTTCTCGGGGGAGGAAGGCCAACGATGTTCCAGGGCGCCCCCCGACGGCCGCCCTCAGCCACTGCGGCTCCCCGCGGCCCGCGGTGGTCACACTCTGGCTGGAGGCACTTCCGTGACTCCGGAGCGATGGGGACCTAAGCAGCTGGAGAAGGAGCCGCGGCGCCAGCGCTGTTCTCCTCAACACCAGGAACCCCAGCATCGTGACAGCCGCTTCGATAGCCCCTGGGTGCCGGCCCCTGTGCTGGCCGCGTCCAACATGGCTGCCGCGGCGCGTTCGAAGACGCCGCGAACGCGGTGGGATACCGCACTACTTCACGGGAGTGGTAGTCCACAGCCTTAGATTTTACCGCAACTGGAGAACAAATAAACTACATTTCCCAGAAAGCTGTGGAACATACGTCACAATGACAGACGACTTAGAGGAGCCTGATGCATGTTGGGAAATGGAGTTCGAGTGAGGGGGCGTGGTAAGAGGGGAAATGCCTGGGTAAGAACGTGGAGATTAGAATTAAGGTTAGAATCCCAGAGCCTCCTGCCAAGTTTAGTTAAAATATGCGACGCAGTTTCTGACTACTGCAAGTTAAACAGGGGATCTTCAGCAGAAGCCTATTATGAAACGTATGCTTATTTCTTTTAGCCTATTTCTCTTTTTTAGCCTGGGACAGCTTTTCAAAAAAGATGTTTAGGGTAACCAGTACACCTGTAACAGCAATTCTCTTTATTTTCCTACACAGATTTCCTTTCGGTTGAAAAGCTAACTCCTAGTCTTGCTTTCTCACTTGTGTTATTTTCTAATGGTTTTCACATGGGTTGTCCCATCGAATCTCATGACAGCTGCATGCAGGGAAGCTGGGCAAGGAATGTTATTCCTGTCTACAGGAAAGGGAATTTCAGTTCAGAGGTGGAAAAAATTGCTAATCAATCAATAAATAAAGCTCAGATCTTCTACCTCGGAGCCCAATACCTGCACCCCCATTTCTTCCTCTCTTTTCCAGACTGAACCCACAAGCAGGCAACGGAGGAAGCTATTTTATGCCAGTCCCATCTCTTACTTCTGCCCTTCCTTTAGGTCTCTGCTCAAACTTCATATTATCAGAGCCTTCTCTGACGATTTTATTTAAAATAGCAATTCTCTTTCCCACATCCTTCCTATCTTGCCTAATTTTTCTTCACAGTACTTACCATTTGACATACTGAAAATGTATTGTATTTAATGTCTTTCTCCAATAGAACATGAGCCCCACAAAACAGGGACTTTGTTTTTTTCTCTCTTACATTACTAGCACTCAGAACAATGTCTGGAACAAAAAGAGATGCTCAATAAATATTCCTTTGGTAAAAGGATCACTCCTGCCTTATTATTGTGGAGAAATTAATATAAGCTTTGGCGTGCAGGCAGACCTGGATTTCAATTTTAACTCTTGCATTTACTGTATGTGTGACCTTGGACAAACTTCCTTACCTTTTTCATTGTTAATTTCCTCATTGTTATCAAAGATAATATGATCTACCCTCAAGAGGATTGCTTGTATTAAATGAGATAATATGTAGACCACCACCGTCCCTGGCTTACATTAGGTCTTCCAGAAATGGCAGCTAGCATTGTTTTCCCTGCTATAGGGGTGCATTGGATTCCCTACTCTAAACTTCTTTTTAAGTTTTTATTTAAATTCCAGTTAACATACAGTGTAATATTAGTTTCAGATGTACAATATAGTGATTCAGCCACTCTATATATTACTCCGTGCTTATCACGGTAAGTATACTCTTAATACCCTTCACATATTTCACCCATCCCCCCACCCACCTCCCTTCTGGTAACCATCAGTTTGTTTTCTATAGTTAAGAGTCTGTTTCTTGGTTTGCCTTCCTCTCTCTTTTTTTCCCCTTTGTTCATTTGTTTTGTTTCTTAAATTCCACCTACGAGTGAAATCATATGGTATTTGTCTTTCTCTGACTTATTTCGCTCAACATAATACTCTCTAGCTCCATCCATGTTGTTGCAAATGGCAAGATTTCATTCTTAAAAATATGGAACACTTGGGCGCCTGGGTGGCTCAGTCGTTAAGCATCTGCCTTCAGCTCAGGTCGTGATCCCAGCGTCCTGGGATCAAGTCCCACATCGGGCTCCCTGCTCGGCGGGAAGACTGCCTCTCCCTCTCCCACTCCCCCTGCTTGTGTTCCTGCTCTTGCTCTCTGTCAAATAAATAAATAAAAAAATCTTAAAAAATAACATGGAACACTTTAGAAATTTGCATGTCATTCTTGCCAGTGGTGATGCTAATCTTCTCTGTATCGTTCCAATTTTAGTATATGTGCTGCCAAAGCGAGCACTCTACTCTAAACTTGAGGGCAGAGATGGAGTTTCTCATTTCCGATCTTTAGTAAGGCACTCAGTAAATAGCTGTTAAATGGACGAATGACTTCTTAAATTACTCAGTAGCAAAAGCATTTTGACCTTCCTATTTTAAGAGAGTCCCAGGACATCCTGTTTTATTAGACACTCTACTCAGGATAGCAGCTTCGCCCTCCCTGTATTCTTAGAATACTTGTGTTTCCCAACTTAGGGCTGATCTCAGCCAGAAGGGCGATCTCTGAGGACCCATTACCAGGTGGGTCACAAGATGGCGTCAGTGTGCGTCACTCAAGCCCTCCTACTGCAGGCGCTTTCCAGCACCTTTCAGTTTACTGCACAACTTGCTATCACTGGGTAATTCTCAGAGCACTTACCCATTGATTCCCTTATTTGATTTTCACAAATAACATTGGGGGTGGGGGTGGGGTCGAGGCAGGGTTGAATTAGAAGAAAACATAAAGTAATTAAATAAATAGAGTAGGGAAGTTTCTGGGTGTGACACAAAACTCAGAACCCACGATAGAAAAGACAGATATATTTGACTCTACAAAAAAATGATTCTGATAGTGAAATATACATAGTGAAAAATATACACAGTGAAAAAATGACAATATGGGGAAAAATATATTCACACCACAGTGATGAAGGGCTAAGTAATACAGAAAACTCCTACAAAATATGCAAAAGGTCTACCATACAAGAGACAAATGCACAAGGGCAATGCCTATGCTAGCTTATACTGTGCCTTTGTGCAAAGTAAAGAACGGGTCTCCCTGAGGATGAATTAGAAGAAGAACCTGCACAGTGTGTGTGACTAGGTGAGCAGGGCACTGCCGGATCTCACCCTTCCACTTCCATGAGCTGCATATCCAAACTTAGCAGCCTCAAGCGAAGGACTTGACCAAAGAGCTCACAAGAAAAAAAAAATACAAATTGTATTTAAACATATGAAAATATGCTCAACTACACCCATGATAAGAGACGTACAAATTAAAGCTTTATTGATCCATATCTTATACCATAAACAAAAATCATCTCAAAATGGATTATAGACATAAATGCAAAACCTAAACTCTAAAACTTCTAGAAGAAAACATGAAGAAAATCTTCCTGATGTTCAGTGAGGCAAAGATTTCTAAGATATAATACCAAAACCATAATCCATTTAAAAAAAAAAGGTAAAATTTGACTTTGTCAAAATTAAAAATTTTGCTCCTCAAAAGTCACTGTTAAGAGAATTAACAGAGGGGTGCCTGGGTGGCTCAGTTGGTTAAGTGGCTGACTCTGGATTTCAGCTCAGGTCATGGTCTCAGGGTCCTGGGATCTAGTGTCATCAGTCTCCATGCTCAGCAGGGAGAGAGAGTGAACAGAGAAACCACAAAGGGGAGAAAATATTTGTAAATTATGCATCCACTAAAAGACTTGTACCAGAATATAAAAAGGATTCTCAAAACTCAATACAGTAATAAGAAAATGATCCTATTTTTAAAATGGGAAAAATATTTGAATAGACACTTCACCAAAGTGAAATAAAATAAATACATGAAAAGACCCTCAATACCATTCCCATGATTCATTAGGAAAATGAAAATAAAAAATTACCATTACATATCTATTAAAATGTCTAAAATTAAAAAGACTGACCCTGGGCGCCTGGGTGGTTCAGATGGTTAAGTGTCTGCCTTCAACTCAGGTCATGATCCCAGGGTCCTGGGATCAAGTCCCGCATCCGGCTCCCTGCTCCTCGGGAGCCTGCTTTGCCCCCTGCCTCTCTCTCTCTCTCTGTCTCTCATTAATAAATAAATAAAGGGCGGCTGGGTGGCTCAGTTGGTTAAGCAACTGCCTTCGGCTCGGGTCATGGCCCCGGAGTCCTGGGATCGAGTCCCGCATCGGGCTCCCGGCTCGGCGGGGAGCCTGCTTCTCCCTCTGACCTTCTCCCCTCTCATGCTGTTTCTCTCTCTCTCAAATAAATAAATAAAATCTTTTCTAAATAAATAAATAAATAAAATCTTTTAAAAAATAAAAATAAAAAGACTGACCCTACCAAATATTGGTGAGAATTTAGTGCAGCTGGAACACTCACATGCTGCTAATAGTAATGTAAAATGGTAGAATTTCTTTGGAAAACAGTTTGGCGATTTCCTTAAAAGTTAAATATACATCTACCATATGATCCAGCCATTCTACTTCTAGGTATTTACCCAAGAGAAAGAGAAACCTATGTCCATACAAAGACTTGGTCATGAATATTTTATTCGTGATAGTTAAAAGCTGGAAACAACTGGGACCTGGCTGGCTCAGTTGGAGGAGCGTGCGACTCTTGATCTCAGGGTTGTGAGTTCGAGCCACACATTGGCTGTAGAGATTACTTAAAAAATAAAATCTTTAAAAAAAAAAATCTTTAAAACAACAACAAAACCAGGTGATTATTTAAAAAACATCTGCTACAAGCAAAAAGAAACAACCTAAATGTCTACTGAAACAAGAATACATAAAGAAATTGTAGTGGATCCATACAGTGGAATACTCTTAGCAATAAAAAGGAATCAACTATTGATAGATGCAATGACATGGATAAATCTCAAAATAATTATGTTGAGTGAAAGAAGTGAGATTAAGAAAAAAGACTGCAGGGCACCTGGGTGGCTCCATAGGTTAAGCGGCTGCCTTTGGTTCAGGTCATAATCCTGGGGTCCTGGGATCGGGCCCAAGTCAGGCTCCCTGCTTAGCGGGGAGTCTACTTCTCCCTCTTCCTCTGCAGCTCCCCTTGCTTGTTCTCTATCTCTCACTCTCTCTTTCTCTGTCAAAGAAATAAAATCTTTAAAAAGAGAGAAAGAAAGAAAAAGAAAGAAAGAAAAGAAAAAGAAAGGAAGAAAGAAAAAAGATTGCATGCTATATTATCCCATTTATATAAGATTCTAGAAAATAAAATCTAATTTATAGTAACACAAAGCAGACCGGCAGTGGTTATATGGGGAAGGGTGGGAAGGAAGTTGTGGGGGGAGGGGGATTACAAAAGGATACAAGGAAACCTTTGGGATGATGGCTATGTTCGTTATATTGGTTGTGGTGATGGTTCACAAGGGCACAAATGTCAAAACGGATCAAATTTATACTTTAAACATGTGCAGTTTATTGCATGTCAAATACACTTCAACAAAGTGTTTTTTTGTGTTTTGTTTTTTTATTTGACAGAGAGACAGAAAGCACAGGTAGGCAGAGGGGCAGGGAGAAGCAGGCTTTCTGCTGAGCAGGAAGCCAGATGCAGGGCTCGATCCCAGGATCCTGGGATCATGACCCGAGCCGAAGGCAGTCGCTTAACCGACTGAGCCACCCAGGCGCCCCAACAAAGTGTTCTTAAAAACTATAAGATAAGGGTACCTGGGTGGCTCAGTCGGTTAAGCGTCAGACTCTTGATTTCGGGTCAGGTCATGATCTCAGGGTGGTGGGATCAAGCCCCACACTCAGAGCACAGAGCCTGCCTAAGGAGTCTCTCTCTCTACCACCCCCACCCCCAGTGCTCTCACTCATACACTCTCTAATAAATAAAATAAAAATTACAAAATAGAATAAAAACTATAACATAAGGGAACCTGACTAGCTCCGTCGGTGGAGCATGCAACTCTTGATCTCAGGGTTATGAGTTCAAGCCCCATGTTGGGTGTAGAGATTACTTAAAAAAAAAACAAAACTATAAGATATGGTTTACCTATCAGATTGGCAAATATATACTTTAAATATATTTTAAGCATATATATTAAGTATATATGTATAGTTAAGTATATTATATATATAATATTTGTGGCAAGTTTGTGAAGAAAAAGACACATTGTTGGTAGGAATATACAACCTCAACAAAGGGCTAGCTTCCTGACAATATCAAACATTGGAATTTAAAGTGTAGATAGACTTGCCATGTGTAAAATGAGGAATGATTTGGGCTATTTGTAATAGCAAGAGGCAAGAGAAATACCCCAAACATTTCTCTTTGGAAACAGGCTGAATATCCATCAATAGGAGTTTGATTAAATACATTAAGGTACAGCTAAACTATGGAATATTATTTTTTTAATGGAGTAAAGCCTAGCTCTTTTAATATAGAACACTCTGAGGTATTTTAAGTAGAAAAAAAATCAAGGCACTGAACAGTTGTATACAACCATTGGTGTTATTTAAAAACTAGATATATACATTTATGTGCTTAAATACTTAGGAGATCTCTGGAAGGGTAATAAAAGCAGTTGCCCTTGGGGTGGACGAAATCGAGCTGGAGGATAAGGGAGAGAAGTAGAGAGGGAAGGAGGGGTTACTTTCCATTGTACACACTTCTGAATTTTATACCATGTGCGTATACTGCCTATTCAATTAAATCAACCAACCAATCAAATATTCACTTTAAATTAACTTCCAGTGTCAGGTAGTGGGAGTGCGTTTAGTTTCAGACTGCCACATTATCTCTTATGTGGAAACACTGACATCTTGTGGACTTCTAAGATAGTGCTGCTAAATATTAAAATCAGGAAGCGTTTTCACCATTCCGCTCCCCTCCAGTCCTTTTCTCCCAACACCTATTTGTTGATACCTCCCCTGTGCATTTGTCCAACCCTTTAAAGCGGAAAAAGTTTCCGTAATATTGAACCTCATTTATGGAACATCTGTGAAGTGCCAGGCACTGAAACCACAGTCCCTCCCAAACCAGGCTCGGAGCTCCGGATGGCAGCACCACCACAGAGCGGTCAAGTCCTGCAACTGAGACAATTCAGGTTTCCCTGGGAGCCCACAGCGGGCTGGGTAGCCAGGGAAGGCTTCGTAAAGGAAGAGACATCTGAGCTGAGTTCTGCAGGAAGAGACACGGTTGACCAGATAAAAGGGAATATAGTAGCTGGCTGGCGGGGCACTTGGAGAATGGGTCACTGCAAAAGGAACACTCTGGAAATTCACAGAGGCAATACTTCTTTTTTTCAATGCATGTCTGAGG